GCAAAAAACTGCCTTTCAATCGACTTGATACGGCATCTAAGTTTATTAAGAAAATTGCGGGCTATTTACCTATTGCAGCGATGGCACCATTTTTTTTGTTTACCTTCGGAATATTCTTGCTCTTTTAAAAAAGCGCACTCAGATTTGGTTATTATTCACATCGGACGACTGTAGAAATGATTTGCAGATGACTTTAAAACTGTTCTCGAAAATACTCTTTCGCATGCGAGTAATGGAAAGACTGCTCTTTCAGTTCGAAAGAAATTGATGGTATATCGAGATATATGCAAGGAGCAATTTAACCTACACTAGGCTAGGGTTGCGAACCCAGCCAACCATTTCCCTTAAAAGTGAGGAAAATATTTTTGGTTTTATGGCCTGCGCAATGAATAAAATCTTCTTTTTTTTTTTTTTTGAATATTTTTCCATCCTGTCAACAAAATCTTCCATCCATATATAAAGCAGATAAGATAAAAGAGATAGACAAAAGGAGATATTGTCAAGATCGGATATAAATTTTTCTATATATTCAACAGTTAATGTTACCTTGTTCTTTCTATTTTTCTGTCCTTTCTCAAAATATTTACAAATTGATAATAAAAAAGTCGTTATAAGAGACGGAAAAGTTTAATTATTCCGAAAAACCTATTTTCCGAGCATGCTCGTGGAGGCATATATTTTTAAACTCGTTTTTTCGGAAAAATTTCACAATATTCTATAAAACGTCATCTGTTGTTGTGGTTCTGGTAAATAAACAGAAATTTGCTACAAGTACCGATGCGTCAAGCAAGCTCGAGGAAAACTCAAGTAAGTGAATCATAGTCGTGTGTTACTGAATCTTCTACAAACAAGTATCTTTGGATTAGAAAAACTAAAAAAAAAAGTGAAATTTTGATACTCTATAATATCAGGTGGGCGTGGCTGATTTTTTGAGATATATTATGAAGCACAATAGGTTTGAGTAATAAGCAAACAAATCAAAACGGAGGTATTCTGAGTTTATATTGTATTGCAGGCGTACGGTTGACTAATTGGTTCCATTGCTAATTTCAATCTTCGCACAGGCATCTGCACTATTTTTGACAATCTCCACAGACCTTTACATAGACAGATGCACGGGCATGCGGACAAGCAGACATGTTTAGATCGATTTAAAATTTGATACTGATCGAGGGCGCATACACACTTTACAGAGTTTTCGATGTTTCCTTTTGGGTGCTGGATGTTGCAACAATAAATACGCCCATCTTTCGGTGATAAATTAAAAAGGATGGTTTTGTCGACTGGTACACCTTAAGAACTTTGCTTTCGTATGCAAAAAATCAAACATTAATAAATAAATACTTTCGTTATTACAGCCTACATCGGTTGTGATAAGGGAGCATATTAGGTTTGTGTTGAGTTGATACAGACAGACCCGCCTTTTATTATCTTCTTTCTTATTTGTACCTCTTGTTTTCCTGTTTTCACCTACAAGCCGCAATTTTTAAAATATTTTAATGAAGTTTGGCAGACTGACAAAGTCGTTATTCTTATACTCATGAGAGTTGTATTAATCTCTTCATAATGTTAGTCACACCTAGAAGGAGACCTTAGTATGTATTTTCTTGATGTAAACCAAATTAAGTGTGTCCGTCTGTCCATCTGTGCAATGTCTGTGATAAACATGCTCTTGGTCGGAAAAATACAGTAATCGCTTTCAAATGTGGCACAAAGATTGAACGTTGTTGCATGCAGCTTGGCATTGAAAATAAGCCAAATTGATCAAAGGACACGACCACAATACAACATGTCCTAAGACCACTTTTACTTTTAATTATTGAAAAAATTTGGCTTTTTGCTCGTTACTTATAAACCACAACAGAGACAACGATAAAAGTTGTTATTTATATCGTATGGATGGTCCTGCAGCATATGTAGAAAAATAGAACAAGTCGACAACGCCTATTTAATATTATATAACAGAATATTGAAGTTTCTTCGTTATTTTATCAAATCGGTTACAGCACTCAGAAAGAAGCTTCAAAGACGGTACAAAGCCTATACATTATTGATCAGTATTCAACGGTGATGGGTATAAAAGATTCGGTCGCGGCCAAATATAATTTCCTTACTTGTAGCCTATGAGTTTGTTTGCTCTTTATTTTACAAAAACTATGAATTTTGCTATTTTTGAAGTAGTAGTCAAAAGCAGGCGTATGAATATTTGATATCAACTTTTTTACTATTTGCTGGCCTCGACGCCTCCTCTGTAAGTTTGGTATCGAAACTGAGAAATTAAAAAAACGCAAAACTCTCTTCAATGGCTTACAACAGTTGGATATACATACATATATACATATATATACATTTAATATTATCTATGTGTGTACTTTTAAATAAAGAAAAAAAGTTAAAAGAATATTTTAGCCCAGTCTTCTACGGTATGGAAAAACCGAATGAATCGGAATGAACTTCACAATGGGACGCAAGTCAACAAAATAGCGGACGCTATGCTGGTGAAGTCGACGTCTTAGCCATTTTGGCAATGCTAAGTAACAAATTGTTGCCAATAATTTGCGAAAATTTGCCCATAAAATTAAGTTTCATAAGTGGACTCCACACGGTCTTGCTCGAAACAGTGTGCTCGGGTAAAAAATAAACGGCTCGAGACACCGGCAAAGGAGTTTTGAGAGGACGCGCAAACAGGAATGAGAGAATGGAAGCGAAGAGAAACTCCACTGACTGTGTGGCAACGTTGACACTTGTGCATGGATAGTCACGGCCATGAGTGTGAGTATGCAAGGATCTACATGAATAGATGAAAAAAAAAGGGAGAAAGGATTATAGAGAAACCAAGAAAAAAGCTATAATTTTGCGAGCAGCGAGAGTATCACGCAATCTGCAGATATCGTCGAGTCTTATTTGGCAATAATGACACTGTCGATGTGTTTTCTTTCAAAACGTTCGATATTGTTTAGTCCATTAAATGCATATATTTTACATTTTGCTAAATTCGTTCCATTGTAAATCTTCTTCCTTCATAGTATTCTCGTAGTAGTCGAAAATAAAAACATTGCATAAAAAAAAAAAACAACAACAAAAAAAACAATAAGAAAATTATATTCGGTTGCGTCCGAATCCTGACTGATCTTTTTCTATTTTTGTAGAATAATTTTGTGGAAAGTTATGTTGTGTATCTGCTTTAGTTTATGAGCAACGAGCAAAAGACACAGAAAGCAAAATAGCGCTCAATTTTGATTGCGTAGACATACGGCCATTGTCCTGTTTGGGACATTTTCAACTGGAACTCGATCTCTTCTTTTTTTGTGAACGGCGGAATGTGTACTACACTGTGTACTACACTGTTGAGCAGACGGAAATATGAACATTCTTAGGCGCATCTCGACTTTGAACCTGGTCAAGAATTGATATGCTTTATGGAGGTTTTGAAGCTTGTTTCCGCGCATTATAATGGCTTTAAATTTTGATGGACTGTAATATTGGGTAGATGGAGTCAACCGTACTCATTTTTGTACAGTTACTGGAGCGTCGTTTACGCAATAAACGTTCATAATTTTGTATATCTACAAGCAGTAGTAAATCAATTTTTTCGATCCTTTTCAGAAGAAGAGGCGTTCTCAGTGTACGTGGTAGCCGTGGGATGTCCTTCGACCGATTGGCTCACACACAATAGAAAGTTGCATGCATGCAAGAACTTTCAATGTTTTTGCAACCACGAGAATGCTTAGAGCAGACACTGTACAACCGGACAGTGGGACATGCTTGAAACGATTCAGAATTTGATACTGATCAAGGATATTTCTATATAGAGTATGGGCCCCCCTGAAGCTTCCGGTTGGCTGCCGCAAACGTTTCGGTAAAACGAATATACCCGCCATCCATCGGCGATGAGTGTAAAAGCAAAAAAAAAAGAAAAAAAAAAAACCTAAGAAAAACTCCCAACTTTCTCTGGGAATTCATTTGTGTACACAGATACGAGTTAAATGCATTAAAGATTAAATATTTAAAGAGAATCTTTTGTAAAGATTTTAATGAATATAAATAGAGAAATTTCTTAAACAAAATTCCATCTAAACTTCACTTTGAGAAAATATTGAGAGTTTTCATTAGAATTTCAAATTGCAACGGAATAATGTTTCAAATTAATTTTACAACCAGGCTGTAGTAGAGCAGAACGATTGCCTTACATTTTCTTTTGTTGAACTATATCCGAACACGTTATGCTATTAATGGTATCTTGTGAACATTTATATGTAACTGGGTTAAGCTAACTACTAACATTTCCCAATTACGACATGCTTTCAGAGAGATAGAGATAGATAGTTACATAGGCTGATATAGATGGATAGTTAGATAGTTAGATAGGCGGTTTATTAAACAAATTTAAAATTTAAAATTTACTTTTTACTTTGTAATTTTCAAATTAAATAAATGAATCCTTTAAATGACCATAAGGTAGACAGATATTTTGTCGACTACTAACTTTGATTGAAAGCGAAAAAAAAAAAAAATTGTCGCCAACATTAACTAAATCGAGATGCGATCAGTTCAGATCAGATTCAAATAACTGCTTATACGTTCAGTTGAATGTTTCGAACGTTGCGCGCGGCCACCTCAAATACAACTGGTTAATATAGAAAGTTTCTTTCGCAAGTTTAGAGCATTTAGTACAATGGATAGATAGGTTGTTATCAGCGCGCACAGTATCAGCGTTGCAGGCACAACGACACTTGACAGTAAGCAGCATAACACTACAACAAGTCAGTCAATATCACTTGCGTGTTTGCATACTTTCTGCTTGCTCCCTCCCGCCTTTCCCACTCTCAATCGCACTCTCTCCTATACTCTCTCTCTCTCTCTCTCTCTCTCTCGCTATGTTTCGCTTTCTCATTCTGATAGCAAATGGTTTGACCGGTTGTAAGCTTATGCTTAGACGGGTATAAGAGTTTTTACCGTTGTACTACTTTCGTAATATTTTCTTTTTCTTTTTTTTTTACCTTTCTTTAGTATCTTTTTCGTTGACAGTCAAGTTTTGAATTTCTTTGATTTATGCGATTAATTTTATTCTTTCAAAAAAAAAAAAAAAAAAAAATTTTTTTTTTTTTCTTAATATATTTTTCTTGTTTTATTTTTTTTTTACTTTCTGCAAGTTTTGTCGATTTCGTGGCTGGGTTGTCGTAATGATCGATCAATTACACACCGCGACGCGCTTACACAACTGCCTCGTATGGCTGAATGTCTGCAACTGATTTGTGCCGGTGGCTTAAGTTACCATCATACCTGTTTTAACTGAAATTGGAATTTCTTTTTTACTTTTGGCTCATAAATCTTAACACGTTTCTTTCTTTTCTTTTTTATTTTTATTAATTTTTTTTTTTTTTTTGACTTTGAATTTTTCTTTTTTTTTTTTTTATTATTATTATTTCTTCTGTAGTTGAATATTTAAAAAAAAAAAAAAATTTTTTAAATTATTCTTTTAATTATTTATGTATCGACTCAATTTTCAAAGGTTTCGATCTCAAAACAAATGCTGCATGCTGCAGGGATCGTAACATTTTACTGTTATTAGCGTTGATCAAGCAAGCAAGTTGATCATTACTGCAATCACTTTGCCTACATACATAACTATAGAATAACGGTTTACCAATTTTGCTATTCTACAAGTAATACACACACACACACACACACACACACATACACACACACACACACATAAACACATACATTCATGAACATAGGAAGATAAGATTTTGCCTTGCTTTTGATTGTTGAAAATTGATAAACGGTAAGTGAATCAATCTGAAGGCAACATTTCTAGCGAAATTGGTTGATTACTTCAAACATTGATAAAAATGGTTAACTCTTTTTTCTTTTTTACATTTACTATAAATTTCGTCAGATAACTAGCCAGTTGTTAAGAATGGTATTTTCGATGAGTCAAACGATAGACAAGCAATGTCTTCTGCCATATTTTACGTTTTTGAAGCAAGAAAGTGAAATTTATGTTACTGTTTGTATAACAAAGCTAATATGTATTGTTCGAGGTATTATGGTAATGTTAACTGTTATCGCATCTAACAATTGGAAAATCACCCTGAGCTCCGAACGAATTCATTTAGCATGCGGTCAAACGAAATTTGTACAATGTGACTGCCTGGTGAAATCATGTTTCCGAAAACAAATAATAAATCTATGAAACGAAACGCATTGAATCAAGGAAACAGTACATGACGGAGTTTCTCAAAAATTCAAAAATATTTTTCTTAGATTTCAAATGAATTCTCAGAACATCGGATCATTTTCAAAGCTCAATTACTTTCGACAGAATTTGCGACAAAAGTCGCAATGCATTGTTTGGTTTTTTTTTTTTTTTTTTTCTTTATATCATCTATGGACTGGCACCTTTCATACGCATTGGATATTGATAAGGTATTGTCTAAATTATCCAACGCTGTAGTTAGCTATTGACCATGAAATTTTTTCCTTTTGCTTACATTTGATGATATTAGAATTCCTATCCGCCTGAGTGGCCGAGTAGGTAAGAGTCTCGACTAGCAACTCAATAGTCGTGGGTTCAAACCTCAAGTGCGGTAGAGTTTTTTAATAAAAAAAAGCCGATAGCCCTAGATGCTAGTGCTTTAAGACTTTAGTCTTAGAATTTATTCTCTGGCTAAATTTATAATAATAATAATAGAATTCCTAGGAATCATATTCAAATGATTATGTTGAGCTTAGGTTGGTAAAAAAAGAAAGGTCGTTTGTCACATGGAATACACATTCAGTTGCTCAATTGTTTATATCATTTTACTTTAGTATGACAATGTATTTCTTTGCCCAAAATAATAATAATAATAATAATAATAATAATAAGACTAGAGTTATGACACTAAAGAGTTATGGCAAACTAAAGAAAGGAACATTCGACGAAGCCTCAAAGCATAAGCGTCCTAGGAAAGCGATTGGCTAGTTATTAGTCTAAACTTAGAAAATTTAATTCATTCACTATTAAATGTAGGGTATGATCTTCGTAAATAGTTTAATTTTTCAAGAAATATTTACCGAAATGTGTTACTTAAGTATTTTTCTAAAAGATTTTTCAAAAATTTCAAATCAATTTTGATCACTTTAGAATGTGTTAAGTTTTGTTCCTGCCAAACATCAGCCTAAATTAAGCTTTCGAATAATCATCTCAGAATGTAATTTATTTTAGAAAATTATATTTATAATTAAAAGTCTTTCAAGTTTAAAAGTAAGTTTGCTTCTAAAGTTTTTATCAAATTTTCCCAAATAATAATTAATTAATTCTTAAGTTTGCTGCATTGTTCATTTATTTTCATAAAAAGTCTATTAAAGATTTTTAAATCGAATAACAAGTCGCTGAACAATTTTCTTCTAATTCTATTCTTCTCATTAATATTGAAAAATGAAAATCGTTCAGTTTTTTTTTTTTTTTCTTCTTTTTTTAGCACTTTTGGTCGTGCTGTGCAGCAAATTGCCAAAGATTATTATTTGCTAATGTTTCTTCAGTTTTTAAACTCTTGCGATCGCGTTTCTTCCTAACTCGGTTCTATTTCTTTTTTTAATTAATTCTATGCAAGAGACTTAAACATATATGAAATAATTTTTTGCTTTTTAGCACATTATTCACTTAGCTTCACTTAGCAACCTATATGTTTTTTAGGTAGTACCAATGGTCACGTGAAATATGTCAACACTTTATGACATTTACAACAGTTAATCGACAAGTTAAAGTTGTTTTAGTGGCACTACTTTAGTGCTCTTCAAAACAGTGTAAAACACGGATTCTCGTCTGTTGATGAAGAGTTGCCTTCTAACGGGAAATAATATCGTTTCAGCAAAGCAGCAATTTGGCAGGTATTATTTGAACTCTGCTCCATTGAGAGAAATGGTAGAATAGTGATTTGCTAACTTTAAACGCGGCCAAGCAAGCAACGATTATTTCTAAACGCTCCCGTCGCCGAAATATGTGAGAAAGCTCTGTTCGGGTTTCGTACAAGTGCCATGTTTGGTTACATTTGATCAAAAGCAACAACAACTTGATGATTCAGAGCGCTGTTCGGAATTGTTTAGGCAAAACGAAAAAGATTTTTTCACTCGCTAAGTGAAAAGGCATGAAACCTGGATCCATCGGCATTCAGTCGAGTGGATAGCAACCGGCAAACGCCGCTTAAAATGATCATAAACGGTAACAGTCGACTGGGTCCATACTTTGGGATGCCTACGGTATAATATTCATCGAATTCCATATCGAGCAAAACACTTTCGATATGAAGAAGTTATAAATATCTGGCTTAGTTTTGGTTTCTGATACCGTTCAGATAGATATTTATCAAATAAAATCAAGATTTTTACATTGCTTCTCCTGTATATTGCTTTTGTTATGTTAAATTTATGCCTAACCTTGAAATGTTAATAAGGAAATATGTAACAATGATATCAGCGGTCTACTCTATGCAGCTCTATGCAGCTCTCTACGACGAATTGTGAGCATTATGTCAAATCGGACGAAACGGGAAAATAGTCTTGATATTCTTAGAATAGAACTTTATAAGCATAATCATGTATGCATGAGCCTATGAACAATAAGGAAGCTGAGCAGCAACAGAACGAGACAAGAAGACAAGCAAACAGTAAGACATGATGATCTATATATATATGTTTTGCGATACGTTCGTTACTTATCTGGGTGTGTTGCAGGCGTTTTAGAAATCTAATCTAAGCCCGGGGCAGTGCAAACGGGCAAAGTATCGATTCCTTTATGTAAAGACCTTACATTCAGGGTACACGGCTATGAATCCATCTTGAATATCTTCTTCAGATTGGTGAAAACTTTTCCATACTCTGCAAAAACCAATAGCAAAAGGAAAAGAAAAAAGAAAAAAACCAAACAAAAGAAGAACAGAAGAGAAGATATAAATGGCATTCTGTTCCTGTTCGTTTGTTTAAACTAGTTTTTATAAACATTCTTCGCTTTTGTGAAGGCATTTAATTTAGTTAAAAAGAAGAAGAAATAAAAGAAAAAAAAAAGAAAAAACAAGCTATTAAGAGATCTGATTTTGTATTCATTTTGCATTTTTTTTTAACGTAAGTATAATTTTAAAAAAAAAAAATAAAAATTTTTTTTATATATTTTTTTTTTTAGATTTCCTTCAAAAGAATATAAGGACCTGCTAAACGTATGCACTTAATGTCCCCACGTCTTTTATTTATCGTTACGCTTATTAAATTTTTAATGCGGCAACAGAAAGTGCATAGTGTAGCCGCAATCTGTTTTGCCTTTTTAAGAGTTTCAACTTCTTTTCATAACTCGAGTAAACTCATAAGTAATTTAATTTAGTCATGGCAAGCTAATGGACGGCCATTATGTACTCAATGTCGCAAACCTATTTGCGCACATTCATACACACGCACAAATTCGGCCATGTGATTTTTAAATTCATAATGACAGTTACCAATGTGTGGTGGACTCTATACGATGACGACGAGAGTAAGTGCTGATGACGAAACGACGATGATAACATTTTGATACATAAACGCCGATGATAACGCGGGCTAAGCGTTGATTGTTATTACTATATATAAAATCTATGTAACGATGTTTTATTAAAATTGGGTAATCGTTACATTTTTTGCGTTTCATTATTATTATTATTATTATATTTTTCTTCTTTTTTTTTTTAACTTTGGCGTTGAAAGTTTATTACGGTTAGCTGTGAGAAAAAGGTCGAAAGCAACTGTGAATTACGTTGATTATTATTCACTCAATTAATGTTTAATCACTTATACATATACGTCCGCAATGTCGGCTATTCATAAAAAAAAAAAAACCACAAAAAAAGATTTCTCTTATAGCGGGAAAAACAGATTATGCGGTAAATAAAGTGCTAAAAATTGTTTTATTTGCTTGCTCTCATTATGAATAATAATAATAATAATAATAATAACCGCTTCGCAATAAATAATAAATTTTTCTAATTTTTATATATTCAAAATTAAATAGGTTTTCTGTTTTCTGTTTTCTGTTTTTTTTTTTTTTTTTTTTGCCTTTTGCCTTTTTCTTTTTCTTCTTTTTTGTGTAAGAATTTTTTAAATAATTTATTCAATACGAGGAAAAATATATCATTTCAAGTTGTGTAAAGAAAAGAAAAAGTCTTTCGAGGTCACTTTCATTCGTTGGACTAGAATTCCATATAAACACACATACATGCACATTTGTACTATGTTCATATATTGAATTATTATTATGGGCGAGACAGCGAAGAAACTACAACA